TGAGTGCTTGGGAATGCGCGGATTTGCCCTCCGCGCTGTTGTCGCGCTGTGATGACGTCAGCTACGCGGTTTCGTCGAGCGCCCTTTAGTCGAACGCGGTTTTGTGGTGGAACCGTGACCACCACCCCTCTCCTCGCTCTGCTCTTCGCTGGGCTGCTGCCTGTCCACACCTGTGCTGGTGTAGCCGGTGGCCTCAGACAGAAGTGTGGCAGCCTAGCCCTGGAACGCCCTCCCCCCGAGGATCTGGGCCCAGCTAGTATCTCAGCCCAGCCCAGGATCTCCACAGGTCAACGAAAGTTTGGTTTTATATCGGAAAGTCGGATGTGGGAAGCTGCAGTTGAGGATGAGCTTCCTGCCCCAGCTGGCTTGGCCTAAACTCTCCCGCTCTGGTGCCCCGTAGGTAGCTCGGTGCCACGCTTGCAAGCGGCAGGGGAACCTGTTGGAAACGATTCACTGGCGAGGCCAAATCAAGCATTTCTGCAACCAGCAGTGCCTGTTGAGGTTTTACAACCAACAGAATCAGCCCAACCTGGACACCCAGAAAGGGCCTGAGAGTCTGCTGAACAGTGAGTAGCCGGTGCTTCGGCCAGCCAAGACTTGGAAGCGCATGAGTGGAAAGGGGGGCGAAGGAATTATCCTGCACTGGCCCCGTGGCGGGCGGGTCGTGGGCTGGAATTCCACCATGTGGGAGGAAGGGGGGAAAGGAGGGAGGGCGGCTTCCCTTTCTCGCTCACCTCTCTGGTTCTGACATGCCGGGCCAGCCGGGAGTAGTGCGGCCCAAGGTAGCCCCACATCAAATAGGCTGTGGGGCAAACTGTCTCTAGGGAGGAAGAGAAACTCCCGAATGGATCTGTGGACCAGAGGATTCCGGGGTTCGGGGTGGGCGGTGTGCCTGTTGTCCTCCTTTGCTCAGGACTGGTTTTACACTTGGGGGCTCCGGGACGGGGATCACTGTGGCCGGGAGGGCTTTTCCATGGTGCGTTGGGCGTGGCCATTCCTGGGTTTTCCATGGTGCTTATTTAACCCCATTGGCTTGGTTTTGCTCGCTCTGAAAAAGCATTTCGAAGCATCTGGGTAGACTACACCGAGATATCAACTCCAGAGGAAAACTAAAAGTACTTTCATTGAGATTGGCTCCATAACGGATTCTTGCACGTCTGATTATGTTCTTCCTCCTCCTCCTCCTCGCAGTCCAATGAAGTAGGGAGGTGTCTGAGCCTCTTCTGAATATTATCCGTCTGCTGTGGACCTAAAATATATTTTGCCCCCTCCTCTCCTTGGCAGCTGAGTTTGTCGATTATCTCCATCCAGGTCATCTTTTTTACTCTACAGTAGCGGTCTGGGCAGGGATGGGGGCATCTGGGTGACCCCCCCCCCACTTGCCATTTGGCTTCCTGGTAGGTGCTGGTTGTCACCTGCAACGTTCCCGTGGTTCGTCCATGAGGCCAATGTGGAGAAAAGACAGGACACGATCTTTCTCGGGATGGAGCGACGACCCAGATTGGGGGTCTGAGAG